GGTAAGGGTAAGGGTAAGGGTAAGGGTAAGGGTAAGGGTAAGGGTAAGGGTAAGGGTAAGGGTAAGGGTAAGGGTAAGGGTAAGGGTAAGGGTAAGGGTAAGGGTAAGGGTAAGGGTAAGGGTAAGGGTAAGGGTAAAGGTAAGGGTAAGGGTAAGGGTAAGGGTAAGGGTAAGGGTAAGGGTAAGGGTAAGGGTAAGGGTAAGGGTAAGGTTAAGGGTAAAGGTAAGGGTAAAGTTAAGGGTAAAGTTAAGGGTAAAGGTAAAGGTAAAGGTAAGGGTAAGGGTAAGGGTAAGGGTAAGGGTAAGGGTAAGGGTAAGGGTAAGGGTAAGGGTAAGGGTAAGGGTAAGGGTAAGGGTAAGGGTAAGGGTAAGGGTAAGGTTAAGGGTAAGGGTAAGGGTAAAGGTAAAGGTAAGGGTAAGGGTAAAGGTAAAGGTAAAGGTAAAGGTAAAGGTAAAGGTAAAGGTAAAGGTAAATGTAAAGGTAAAGGTAAAGGTAAAGGTAAAGGTAAAGGTAAAGGTAAAGGTAAAGGTAAAGGTAAAGGTAAAGGTAAAGGTAAAGGTAAAGGTAAAGGTAAAGGTAAAGGTAAAGGTAAAGGTAAAGGTAAAGGTAAAGGTAAAGGTAAAGGTAAAGGTAAAGGTAAAGGTAAAGGTAAAGGTAAAGGTAAAGGTAAAGGTAAAGGTAAAGGTAAAGGTAAAGGTAAAGGTAAAGGTAAAGGTAAAGGTAAAGGTAAAGGTAAAGGTAAAGGTAAAGGTAAAGGTAAAGGTAAAGGTAAAGGTAAAGGTAAAGGTAAAGGTAAAGGTAAAGGTAAAGGTAAAGGTAAAGGTAAAGGTAAAGGTAAAGGTAAAGGTAAAGGTAAAGGTAAAGGTAAAGGTAAAGGTAAAGGTAAAGGTAAAGGTAAAGGTAAAGGTAAAGGTAAAGGTAAAGGTAAAGGTAAAGGTAAGGGCAAGGGTAAGGGTAAGGTTTCAGTTTCGGTTTCGGTTTAGATTTCGGTTAAGGTTAAGGTTTAGTTTTAGGTTTAGAAATAGTTTGAGGCTAACGCTAAGGCAAAGCTTGAAGTTGAGGTTGAAGTTTAGGTTAAGGTCAACCTTAAGAGTAAGGGTAATGGTAAAAATAAGGATAAGGGTTAGTGCTTGTGTTAGTCTCATTGTTACGTTTAAGTTTACGTTTATAGCTACTGCCACAAGATTCGAAAAAAAAAAACACACTAAGAGGCTAACACACATACACACACACGGACGCAAGACTGCACACTTCATGCACGCAAGCATATACACACGCACACACGTATACATGCCTTATGTTACAATCAGCGCTATAGTAGAGGTTAGAGAACAAAGAAACGAGGAAGCTATATGAACTATTCGCTAGCACCGGCTCGGATAAGCACATACAGTGTTTCTTCCAGACATTTTTCTCAGTGGGGGGTGGCACTTGATATTTTCATGGGGGGGGGGGGGCGGACAACATTTTCCGGGGGGCGGACACTGCTAAAAGTATATGTTTACTCTATAAATTCCATTTCTTTCGGCAGGGGGGGGGGGGCGGTAGACTGTCTTCGGGGGGGGGGGGGGGGCTTACCCCGAAGATATGCCTGGAAGAAACTCTGAGCACATACAAACCTAAATTATATGTATATCTAGGAGAGACACTCAATTAAGGTGTAGATCGAGAAAGTCTTTAAAAAACGGGGAAATGGGAATTAAATTTTTTTAATAAATCTAGAAGCGGGAAATATAGTACTGCCTCCCGTCAATTCATTAAAAAAATGGCAAAGGTTTGTCTTGTCAACCAGGTTTATTACAGACATTTTTCTTGAGTAGACACTTGAAGTTTCCGTGAGCGGGGTGTTGGAAGCGGGGGTAGTTGGGGTGAGGACACTGGTTGAATATATACATTTTCTATATAGATTTAAGTAATAGATGGCCAGTAAGCTCATGGCTACTAAGACGAAAAGTCCCGAGTTCGAAACCCACAGAGCTGATGAGACTCGATTAATGGGGACAATAACACATTTAGGAAAAAAAAGCTCCATGAATCAAACAACTTTTGCCTTCTAGTTTGTTCTTGATTGGACAAACGTTCTAGAAACAAATAAAAAATAAACCGGGAGTGATCTCCCCTTAACTTTCTCGAATATTCGTTTATAACACTACGAGGGATAGCAACTCGGGATATAGACAAGATTTTTAATCCATTTTTAATTACTTAAACTTTTAAAATAGAGTAGAATCTAGTAGAAAAAAAGAATTGCGTACCAAGTAATCGCAAAAAAATAATATGTGTATAATAGTGTGGAATATTATTATTACTTTATAAATTTACATGCGTTTTTTGAGAAATCGGAAATAGCGTAAATTACGTCTTCCGGTCAACGGAAATAACTCAAATAACTTCAAATGCTGCAATCAGATCTGGGCAGTCTAAGTTCTCTTCAGGTTCCCATGTGTTCTCTTAATCTGGATATCCTTTCCTTTTTAACAAGTAGGCCTATTCCATTTTTCCACCACGCATTCCTGAATCAACAACTTTTTCTACTGTAAATTCTTCTTCTTCACCTTCTTCCTCTTTCTCCTCCTCAACTGGATCATCCTTAGATTTTTCAGCCTGGTTGAAGAGAGGCCCAAACTTACCAGACATTTTTAAAATCAATGTATGGGGGGTCGAGCCGAATGACAAATCGAAAGTTTGCCTACGCTAAGCTTTGGACACTATTATAACCTAACATCATAGAGAAATCAGTTATTTTAAAGCTTCTTATTATTACGGTTTGTTTTATATGCTTTATTTAGCTCTCATAAGCGACCACAGTTATTATGTTCTTATTTTCAGTGCATTTAAAAAATCTGTGTTATAATAGCCGTTTATGTTTGTTTTATTTTATAGCGCAGACTACTGGTGTATTATTTAACCGTTCTATTTAAAAAGCTTGACTGACTTATCTCCCATGTTTACTCTACTTGTCACCAAGACCGACATTGTGATCACAGTCAAAGACCACAGAATATGGTTCTCAGGATATCGTAGATGTGACCTCGATGTTTTCTTACGGTGGGAGGGTTAGTTTGTCCCAAGGGGACTAGTTTCTGGACAGACCAGGGCCAAGTTCTAAAGTTGTGTATAGTGTGACTCACGTCCCTCCTGAAGGAAGGTGTAGACAAAATTTTCAGGTGGTTCCTTGTCGAAAAATATCAGACACTTTAGAAATTGTATATTTATACAAAAATAAAATCATCCTATAATATTATACTGTTTTAGTTATATCAATAACTAAGAAAAATAACTTTTCAGATGGAAATCCTAAACCATAAAGATGAAATTTAAAAAAAAGTTAACGCAATTTTAATCTAATTTAGAGAGGTACCCGTAATACATGTTTGATATATTTCAAAGTCCTGAAGTTTTTCAGTCACTGGCCGTTCAACATCTAGGCCAACCCGAATATGTTAAGATAAAATCCAAATAGGCAACGGGCCTGACAATACGAGGCTCCGTGGTGTGACCGACAGGTTTACTTTGGTCTAGATAATTATCTAATCCCTGTCGTAGGCTTACACAGACGTTATCAACGGGAGCATAACGTAAGTAGTGACTGTATGTAATCGTATGATTGTATGTCTCCATATAGCAAGGTAGCATAACGTAAGTAGTGATTGTATGTAACCATATGATCGTATGTCTCCATATAGCAAGGTAGCATAACTTAAGTAGTGATTTATGTAATCGTATGATTGTATGTCTCCATATAGCAAGGTAGCACAACGTAAATAGTTATTGTATGTAACCGTATGATCGCATGTCTCGATAAAGCTAGGTAGCATAACGTAAGTAGCGATTATATGTAACCTATGATCGTATGTGTCTTCATAGCCAGGTACAACAACGTAAGCAGTGATTGTATGTAACAGTACGATCGTATATTTCTTCAGAACCTAGTAAAACAACGTAAGTAGTGATTGAATGTAACTGTGTAATCGTATGTCTTTATAGCCAGGTAGCAAAACGTAAGTAGTGATTGTATGTAGCGTGCGTGTGATCATATGTGTCCTTATAATTCGGTAACACAAAGTAAGTAGTGTTTGTATGCAACCGTATGATCGCATATGCCTCCAGAACCTGGAGACATATGCAGCTTCAAGCATGTAACTAGCTTTTGTTTGATTACAAATGTGTTGGCCGAATGTATCAGAATGAAAACGGTAGATAAACTAACCTGAATTCGGGTGTGTTTCTGTGGCATAACTTTATGATTAGTTTTAACATTAATTTCTGCGAGCGTAATGTCACAATTGTTTTAGAACGTTGTGTTAGAGTACTAAACTGAACCTTCAAGTTTGAGTAGTGTTCCCCTACTCGAGTTAGCAGCAGCCATGAATCCAACCCGGTTAAATGATCGAATTAACGGCAGCAAAACACGACCACCGCCTGTCCCAAAGTAACTGAAACAGGTATGCGCTCCTTCATGAATCTAATAGACTGAATCATGTAACTTCATGTTTCTACGTTTTTATTTTACACCGTATTGCCTACACTGAGGTTATCTTTAAAAATTGAAATATATATCTCAGTGGGTTTTTAACATTTAGATTTAGCCTTTGATTGCGTTAGCTTTAGAACTTTTGTTACGGTCTTTAAATAAATTATACCCTGCACCAAATAATAGAACTCTAAAAAAAGTGTGTCATTTCAACTTTCAGACCATAAGAGAACCATTAAAACAGGATTTCAGGATTGAAAATTGAAAAACCTGAAAGTTTAAACATGACTGTAGCAGAACTATAAAGAGAAAACAAAATGAAGTCATTTGCTTTGCACGTGCTCTTCTTGTCCATCACGTGGTACGTGACGTGTACACTCGGACTAGCGAATCAAATATCGGACAATGTGACGTCATTGGCGAATGACAAAAATGAATCATTAGCCAGTGTCAGTGTTGGTGTTGATGATAAATCAGTTGCCAGTGTTGCTATTGATGATAAATCAGTTGCCAGTGTTGCTGTTGATGATAAATCAGTTACCACTGTTGCTGTTGATGATAAATCAGTTACCAGTGTTGGTGTTGATCATACAACAGTAGCCAGTGTAGGTGATACAACATTAGCCAGTGTCAGTAATTCAACAGCTGCCAGTGTCAGTAATTCAACAGCTGACAGTGTCAGTGCTTCAACAGCTGCCAGTGTCAGTGATTCAATAGCTGCCAGTGTCAGCGCTTCAACAGCTGCCAGTGTCAGTGCTTCAACAGCTGCCAGTGTCAGTGATTCAACAGCTGCCAGTGTCAGTGTTTCACCAGCTGCCAGTGTCAGTAATTCAAAAGCTGCCAGTGTCAGTGCTTCAACAGCTGCTAGTGTCAGTGCTTCACCAGCTGCCAGTGTCAGTGATTCAACAGCTGCCAGTGTCAGTGATTCAACAGCTGCCAGTGTCAGTGATTCAACAGCTGCCAGTGTCAGTGATTCAACAGCTGCCAGTGTCAGTGCTTCAACAGCTGCCAGTGTCAGTGATTCAACAGCTGCCAGTGTCAGCGCTTCAACAGCTGCCAGTGTCAGTGCTTCAACAGCTGCCAGTGTCAGTGCTTCAACAGCTGCCAGTGTCAGTGATTCAACAGCTGCCAGTGTCAGTGATTCAACAGCTGCCAGTGTCAGTGCTTCAACAGCTGCCAGTGTCAGTGCTTCACCAGCTGCCAGTGTCAGTGATTCAACAGCTGCCAGTGTTAGTGCTTCAACAGCTGCCAGTGTCAGTGCTTCACTAGCTGCCAGTGTCAGTGATTCAACAGCTGCCAGTGTCAGTGATTCAACAGCTGCTAGTGCCAGTGCTTCACAAGCTGCTAGTGTCAGTGCTTCAACAGCTGCCAGTGTCAGTGCTTCAACAGCTGCCAGTGTCAGTGCTTCACCAGCTGCCAGTGTCAGTGATTCACTAGCTGCCAGTGTCAGTGCTTCAGCAGCTGCCAGTGTCAGTGATTCAACAGCTGCCAGTGTCAGTGCTTCAACAGCTGCCAGTGTCAGTGCTTCACCAGCTGCCAGTGTCAGTGATTCAACAGCTGCCAGTGTCAGTGATTCAACAGCTGCCAGTGTCAGTGATTCAACAGCTGCCAGTGTCAGTGATTCAACAGCTGCCAGTGTTAGTGCTTCAACAGCTGCCAGTGTCAGTGCTTCACTAGCTGCCAGTGTCAGTGATTCAACAGCTGCCAGTGTCAGTGATTCAACAGCTGCCAGTGTCAGTGATTCACCAGCTGCCAGTGTCAGTGATTCAACAGCTGCCAGTGTCAGTGCTTCAACAGCTGCCAGTGTCAGTGCTTCAGCAGCTGCCAGTGTCAGTGCTTCAGCAGCTGCCAGTGTCAGTGATTCAGCAGCTGCCAGTGTCAGTGATTCACTAGCTGCCAGTGTCAGTGATTCAACAGCTGCCAGTGTTAGTGCTTCAACAGCTGCCAGTGTCAGTGCTTCAACAGTAGCTAGTGGTGGTGACGCATCAGTTGCCAGTGTTGATGATAGAGACAACACAACAACACAACCACAGCCAACCACTCTCTCACCAGACAACACAACACAGCCTGCTTTAAGTACAGTAGCCGTACCCAGTCCATCAACCTCTGATGCTAACAACACCATCACCGTTGTAACACCTGTAATCAACACCATCACCATTGTCACGCCTTTAATCAACACCACCACCGTTGTAACACCTTTAATCAGCACCACCACTGAAGATATTCCAGTTGATAACACAGGTATGCCAACTAATGTTTTTAAAGCCATTTTGACTCTTTATTTATCAGCACTGAATAATCAAATCACTGATAGAGTGAAGTCCCTTGCTATAATCTTTCTCTACTATTGTTCTTAGGCTTAAATAGTGTACACATATTTTACACGTGTAGTAGATCAGTACACAACGTGTGAATCAGGCGGTAATAGACATTGTATGATTAACTTTATATTGCTCACGGTTACTAAGAAAGTATGTATATTTACTCGCACTATACTAGCACATCGTGTTAAGTATATATGTTTGAAACATACAAATTATGGATTTGATGTTTAAATTTAAGTCAACTTGTAACGTCGATTCACATTGATTAAATTAGTAAATGTAAGCTTTTTTTTTAAACCTGATGTAAATTATTTTACACTTTAAATATCGAGATAAAAACTTGATTTGCCTAACATTATAAATACAACTGGGAAGCCTGCTGTCTTATAATAAAACATGTTTTACTCTCCATCTCACTTAGATCAAGCGGAACTAAAGCTTTTATTAGTCGTAAAGATTGATCGAGAGTTTGTGGCTGATCTAAATGATACGAATTCTGAAGTGTTTAATGAAACATCTGTTTTCTATTCTCTAAAGGTCAGTGTTTAAGTTGTATTTATTTCGCTAAATCTTACCCTAATACAACACCACTTAAATCACAGTTGTCTAGTGTTTTTTTTGTTACACTTTGAAATATAAAGTATGTAGCAGAAGATCTATTAGGTCTACCACAGAACCATTGTGTTGATAACTTGACATTTTATTGTTAGTAATTATAATTCAAAATAGATTACTGAAACATATTGCAAGATAGAAAAAAACCCACCATGATTAGTAATTTTCGGATACCAAATGTGTTTCAAAGTTATACTATGTTAAAGTATGCGCAACTATTAAGCTTATTTAGTCAAAAATTACATACGGCGTGCATACGCAGATTTTTGGGGTCGGGGCAGCGGCAAGACCAGAAAAAGGCGCCATTTATTTGATATTTTCAATATTACAAGACTGACAGAGATCCTAAAATCCAAAGATAGTAAAAAAGGTATCTCATATCAGAGACGAACTGCCAAATTGAGCGTAAACTCTCAAGTAAAAGCTACAGCCGTGAAGTATTGTGGTGTAGATGTAGATGTACAGATGCTAAAGGGGACTGACTTGACAAAAAGGCGTCTGGTTCTGTCAAGCGCTCAACTAGGGGGTCAAGATGTATTTTTTCTCCTTCTTCGTTTTAAACGTATTATTGAAGGTGATTTCTTCTAACGCGGGTAGGACGTGTCAACGTGTGGTACGACATATTGCCCTTTAAGTCCGACTTCAGGTTTCATTTCACGATTTTTCTGAATGATTTACCAGGCAGTGGTTGTTTGACTTTAACGCTTCCTCTCCTTGACGAGTTTCTGTCCCCAGCTAACAAGCCTCATACCCTCCCCGCCCGACCGCATCTAACCCCGGCGAATTATTAAAATAAAAGATATTTACAAAACATATAATAGACAATTGATAACTGCAGTTTCAATTTATGAATTTTATGCATTCTTATGAAATATATTTTTAGCTGGAAGTTGTTTAAATGTGTTTTTGAATTAATCTCCAAAAAGGCGCCGTTATCCTGAAATCTGTCCCAGGGGGTGCGCCTCTCCCACATCTCCTCTGCATACGCCTTTGCTTAATATCTTCGTATTGTCCCCAGCTAAGCCACGCCTATGAAAATGTCACAAATTTCAAGACAATTGAAATTTTAGATTTTCGGTAAGCTATTTGTACACATTTTAGAAAGATTACCACACATGTATTAAACTCAGGGGCGTAGCGAGAGGGGGGTGACACCATTTAGGGGGGTGACACATAGGCAAAAAATAGCAAAATATATAGAGAAAAACTTGAGGGGGGGGGGTGCAAATCGAGAGTTTGAGGGGGGGGGGGTGCAAATCGAAAATTTGAAAGTTTGTTCCCGGGAAGGGTCGCTACGCCTCTGGGGGGGGGGTGACACCATTAAGTGCCGCACCGGGTGACACCCGACCTCGCTACGCCACTGATTAAACTTAACAGCTATATGCAAGGATTAAATTATACATTAATCTCAAAACATTTTAACCTCATTTTAGAGTCTCTTTTCACCTAGAGAACATGAGAAGAGAGGCTATTAATCTATTTTTGTAACTTCATGTAAAATTAATTGAATTAATTTGACTTACCTTGGTTGTTTTAATTACTGCTGTGGTTTTTATGTAACATCAGACCAGGGAGCATTTTGATTGATTACAATGTTGTGTTGGAGGCGACGTCATCCACCAACTTCACTATCGACACGTCGAGACTGAGAACAGATCTAGATGAGGCTCGAGCAGAGCTGGAGAACATCCCACAGATGAACATCACTTACCTGGATAACACATACGAGGGGGCTGTGGAAGCAGGTATAGTGAATACACAAACAGAACACTTAAAACATGCGTTTTTTCCTAAAGCTACATCGTGTGATTTATTTCTTGACCATGCGAGTTCTATTAAGATATCACTTGCAATGATGACACTGATAAAGTATTTTCACGTGAGATTCTTCTACTTATAATTTTATAGACTGTCAACATCATTTATCTTGTAGGAAGTGAAGATGTTTTATAGGCCGAAGATGGGGTTCGAGGTGGGGTTATTGGTTCTAGTATCTCGAATAATACGTAAAAAATACAATTAAACATTAAATTCTTCATTGATTACGTAATTAGGTTATTTAGTTAAGTCCTGAATAGGGAATATCCGTGACCTTGGTAGTGTGGTGAGAAAACAAAGGGGAACGAACTCTGCATGTCTTGTGTACTAACATTACTAGAGTCGTATCCCTTGACATATTTGGTAGGTTCCTAAGTGCTTTTGAAAAATTTTGTCTAATGCTGAAATATTACTCAGTTCAAAATATCTGACTCTTATCACAAAAAATCAAGGTACTTTATAATTCCCTACATGTAAAGTTACCCCTTCTAAGCTAGTTCCAGGGGACAAATGAAGTAGAGCTCACCTATTTCACCTGTACCTTATATGTCTGTATGTTGTGTTGAGTAATGCAACTCGTGATATTCGCCTCTAGCTTATATGTCTATATGTTGGGTTGAATAATGCGACTCATAATATTCTCCTCTACCTTATATGTCTGTATGTTGTGTTGAGTAATGCGACTCATGATATTTTTCTCTACCTTATATGTCTGTATGTTGTGTTGAGTAATGCGACTCATTACATTCTCCTCTAGCTTATATGTCTATATGTTGGGTTGAGTAATTCGACTCATGATACTCTCTACCTTATATGTCTATATGTTGTGTTGAGTAATGCGACTCATGATATTTTTCTCTACCTTATATGTCTGTATGTTGTGTTGAGTAATGCGACTCATGATATTTTTCTCTACCTTATATGTCTGTATGTTGTGTTGAGTAATGCGACTCATGAAATTCTCCTTTAGCTTATATGTCTGTATGTTGTGTTGAGTAATGCGACTCATGATATTCTCCTCTACCTTATATGTCTGTATGTTGTGTTGAATAATGTTACTCATGATATTTTGCTCTACCTTATATGTCTATATGGTGGGTTGAGTAATGCGACTCATTACATTCTCCTTTAGCTTATATGTCTATATGTTGGTTTGAATAATGCAACTCGTGATATTCGCCTCTACCTTATATGTCTATATGGTGGGTTGAGTAATGCAACTCATGATATTCTCCTCTAGCTCTGACAAACGTGAGCTCCGAGCTTAAGGACGAATGCTTCATCTACAACATTTGCTCAAGACAATGCTCCAACGTCACCAACTCAACAACATGCAGCAGGTACGTCACGTGATAGAAACTACAACAACATTGTTCATGTTGTTTTGGTTTGCTTTATGTTTGTTTAACACTTGCTATTCCTTATAGATATGATTTGGACTTTTTACTTTTGTTTTGGTTAAATAGACGCCATGCAGCAAAAAAGTGTTTAAAAACATCACCAACTATAGTTTAAATAACTTTAAATTTATTACTTTCAGCGTGTTTTATTTAAAGTCTAGGATTACTTTTAAAATTGTTTAAACAATGACATATCTTCACACTGTATGCTCAAAATCAGGCTTAAAATCAATTAAATTATTGATTGCTAATACATGACTGGATGCTAATCTAATGATACAAGTTAAACACTTCAAAGTCCAATAAATTAGTTGTGACAAGCAGAATAATCTGCTGTTTGAAAACACTCACGTAGTCTGATGTTGTATCTTTGAACAGGTGTGTGGAAGCTAAAGTCACGTGCCAGAAGCAGAAGACCAGCGACGATCTATCGACCAATGATATCATCTTCCTAGCCATTGGCTGTGGCTGCGCATGCGCCGTCATCTTACTGACCATCATTGTGCTTTGTAAAATAAGGTAGGCTCTACAGTTTACATTAGCACACCCAACAAAAGATAGAAAAGTGATGTGTGTATGCAGTTGTTTCATGATTGTGTTATCGTCCTCTCCCTGCCAAATATTATGTAGTCAATCATTATACACAATAACAGTTATGTAATGTGGTTTTAAAAATACAACAAAGTAAAGGTAAATAATTACATTAAGTAAAAATCGATCACTAAACTTAACGTATTTCGTATTAATTTTCTTAAAGATATGTTATTCATTTATTTCATGATTGCGATATATTCAGGAGAGATACGATTCGGTCGAAGAAAGGGTTAGATGACATGGACGGCAAAGTAGATGACTTAGAGGGGAAACTAGATGACTTAGAGAGAAAGTCAGACAAACAGGAGTCAACCGAACATCAGGCCATGGCTTATAAATCTTCCAGCAGGTCCGCTATAATAGACCCGGAGTTTTATGAAGGTAAGTGGCATTAAGTCAAGCTATATTAGACCCGGAGTTTTATGAAGGTAAGTGGCATTAAGTCAGGCTATATTAGACCCGGAATTTTATGAAGATCAGTGGCATTAAGTCAAGCTATAATAGACCCGGAGTTTTATGAAGGTAAGTGACACTAAGTCAAGTTAATCTAGACTGCTAACCCGGATTCGAACTCGAGACTTTCTTGTTAGCTGTCTAGTTTTCTACCTCTAGACCACGCCGGCTACACACTTTGGAGCTAACGTGTTGGAATACTTTACGCTGCGTAAAGGGACATAACCAAAATAATTTTTTTGCAAGCCTTTACAAAGAATCTGATTTTAAAACCTGTATAATTGTATTCAAACTTCAGGTGCCAGGGGCAGTAAGCGAGGGGGACAGGACAACAAGGGATACTCGCACGGAGCCAGCCAGCGGTCAGACAGGGATGGCTGGTCCTCCCATGGCTTGTCGGGACGGTGGGGGACATTGAATGAGAGGAAGGAGACCCGCCCGGCAGTCGGCACCACGCTGCGTCATGACGACATAGAGATGACGTCACGGACTGGGGGGCAGGGCTGGAGAGACACCGCCTCTAGTACTGTGAGTACATAGAATTTTTAAAATTCGAAGTCTAAAAACTGAAAAAAAAAACATATTTGCAACTAAAGATGTCAAGAAAAAGAACCTCTTATATTTTCTAGAGGCTCTTAAAATACAAAAAAAAAAAAAAACCCACTGTAGCCTATATGTTTAAAATATGAGTTGAGGGTTTGTTAATTAACAAATTACTCACTTCGGTTCCAGTTATAAATATCAAAATCGTTGGTTTTCAATTAAAGACACGCTTCAGTAACCACCAGCTGCTCAGTCCTACCGCACAAACCAGACTTTACCAACATACTTTTTTTTTCTTTCTTTACAACATCACCGACTCAAGATGTGTCTCCCATTAGCCAGGCAGACCCTCAACACGGCAAACTCCGACTAACTGGCTTAGATATCGGTTTGATTGCCGTGTATCGGCCACTTCTGTCTTTCGAACCTCACCAGGCTTATCTTCCGCCTCACTGAACGCAGGGTAAACTCGTACCCCACCGTCCAGTACCCGGCTTGACCATAGGGGTAGTTCGGACCAACCGTCAATATCCTCCTCATCCAGACTATGTCATATCAGATCATTTTTCTACCATTACTCCCAGCAGACGCCTAGTCATTCCTGGCTCCTCTTCCACTCTGAATTCCTCCCTAGTGGTGATGGTTTTGTTGCTAACGTTATCCCCTCTCCAACCTCAAATCCAAACTAATCTTGGGAGACGGCAAACTTTGGGGTTTATGTAAATGCTGAAGTAATAGGGTGATTTACATACACAACTATTAAGTAAGTCCTCCCATATATTTCATGCAAGCAGTGACTAAATTGTGGATTTACTGATTTCTGAAAACATAGATAGGCTTTGTAAATTATCCAAATTATCAAGTGCTATGAGGGACTCTTTTTATTTTGTCATTGCAATAATCTAATATTTAACGTTCCATTTGCTTTCAGAAATCTTACAACATTCCAAGGGTATATTTGAAAGAGGATCTGCGCTAATTCAGGATTTTTTTCATCTGATTTTAGTGATTGTAATAATGGTTTGCTAATTCAACTAGTATATATTTCATGGCAGGGTATTGTATTTTTGGAACCCTGAAAACGTACCTTTGTCTGTAATTAAATACCCATCATAACCTGTTTTAGAACTGTAAATTTTAATTAAGTCATTTTGAATTAGCTGCTTTTCATACATTTATAAAAACATGCTGACACATTTATATATTTTATCCTTCAACCAATGTAGCTAGGAAAATAATGACATACACAGCTATAGTTTTCCTTACACATTGTGTTTTATATACTTTGATATTCAATGAGTGTGATTGTGTAAATTATATCTAATGTAGTTGTATGTTTGATGCTTCATATATTCATGTATAAACGATTGTACGCATAACAATAAAAATATAAATAAATCACATAGATCTACTTTGTCTTTAGCAACAACGTTAGTACTTTAAATACGTATTTTTAGTTTCTTCCAGGCAACACTTTGGGGTGGGGGGGGGGGGCTACGGAGAAAGTCTACCGCCCTACCCCCTCCTCGAACGAAATGGAATTTATATAGAAAACGTTTACTTTTACCAGTGTCCGCCCCCGGGTAAGCCCCCCCCCCATTCCCGGAGAAAAAAGTCTGGAAGAAACACTGTAGGCATACATATTTCTTTTTGTTATACACAGTACGTTGCATTACTAGACACATGAAAACATTTTTTCTTAACACCAATTCTAATTAGACCCCTCTATAATAATTTGTTCTTCCGTACTGCTGTCTATTATAATACGTTTTTATTGGATGCTATAAACTTTATATAAAGAAAGGTCGAATATAATACATTTTATATGCTCTCTTTATATCAGATTCCAACACAATACACACAACTTTCTCAGATCTTCACAATAAGAAGTTCTATAAACATAAGCTTAAATCAAGACATTCATCTCTCTCGGAATGCGGCACAAACAATCATTCTTATTTTCTGTTCATTTTGTTGCCTAACTTATATAAACATTTTATAAGGAGTAACGAACACGTTTAGGCGTGTCGTTATTTGGACCACAAACATAACTAATGGCTACAACCAAACAGGAAGTAACGGCAGTTGTAGATAACAGAGAGCATCCGATTTGGTCGCTATAGAAACGTCATAAACACACTTTTTTGTGGGTTGAGAACTATCAAATGTCACATTTGTTTCTTTAAAAAATATACCGGCCAACGAAAGACAGAAACTGTTGTAATTTAAGAACAGAGTTGAAGCTTATATTATTACGCCTACTATCATCGATTAAAAGAGATTTAAAAAAAAAATTCACTCCAATATTTTGAAGTGTTTTAATTGTTCCAAATTCGGACACTTTAGATATATACTTCAGGTGAGTTATCGAAATATGCATTTCTAGACTAGGTACATCAGAATTTCGTTACGTCGATTTCTTCAAAACTTGACAAATTTATTTTAAGAGTCAGATATTAATGCAATCCTAATATTATAACCTTTGATTTTTCCATACACATTGAACAGATATTTATAAAATCTGAAAATATAAACATTGTTAACGAATTGTCTAAACACTTTTTATCATATCGGTTTAAATAACATTAAAAATCATTGATGCTGCATTTCTTTATTTAAATCGTCTATTTTAATACTGACTGAACTCGATAACGATTACAGAGAAAGGACCTTTTTTTTAACTTCACATATATCTAGAATAGAGGACTTAAATTATAATCGAAATACTGTTAGGGGGAACTTAACGTTTTTACTCCTACTTGAATCTAAAAACCT